GCAGAGGTCAAAGCTCCTGCAAACTTGGAGGTCTCTCCTCCTTTCTTAACTACTAGAAGAACCTTCTTCTTTAGAGTTCTTCTAATCCTCAGGACCTCGGTAACAGACTCTTCTGGCCTCACTGCAGTTTTCATTATAGTAAGGATTTCGGCGTAGGACTCTGGGTGCCTCGCCGATATCTTCACTGCCTCCGTAGTCCTGAGCCTAGAAGGGCGACCCTGAAGCTCTTTATTTTTTTCTTTTTTAGAAGCTTTTTCTTTTTTGCCTCCTTTTTTTTATTTGTGACGACCCTGAAGTCGTCACCCTTCGCCGGGACTTTACCTGAGGCTACATCAAAGTATGTTGGTTTAGGAGCCACCTCCAATTGTACCTCATTAGTTCCATCCAGTAATTGAGGAGTTTGCGCAGGAGCCTCCTTACGCTTAACCCTCTTTTCTGTTGGAGTCACCGGCTGGGGACTTGCATCTGGGCTAGTTCCATCTCTGCGACGTTTTTTACCGTCCCTTTGATCATGCAGATCCTTTGCTGCACTGACCTTCAGTACGGGCGTTCCAGAATTTGAATTTCGCTGCTCCGGGACTATGACGGGCTCGGGAATAAAACGCAAGTTATTGCGAATTATATCGAACGCCTTCCCCAAAGCAGCCATTCCTTCTTGAACGCCCTTACTAATGTTTTTTTGCTTCTTACAAGCCTGGCGCATACTTTCCAAGACTTGTGGAATGATTTCAAACTGTTCAGCAACATTCACTTCGAAGCTACTCGACAACTCTTCGTTCCTTCTTTGTTTTTGCCCCCCCCCAAAATCCGTGGAGCCTGCACCGGCTACCGAGGCTTTCACTCGATCAGAACCAGTGGCGGGATTACCCTCTTCTAAGGTACCCACTTGGAGTAATTTATTATTATTTGTAATTTCCATATTGTATTTTTCCCGTAACGTGGGATGTTTGGGCTTATTTGGTCAGGGAACCACCCTGGTTATTGGTTGTCCTTTAGTAAAAGCCCCACCACCACGACAAGGTCAACCAAGAATATCCATGATATACATGATTCTTGGCAGCGGACCACCATCGGCAGGGATTATTATTATTATTATGTATTAAACGATTAAAAAAAATTTCGACATTTTTTGGGTCAAATTTCAAAATTTCTTTCAACTACATAACACTTTGAAAGGATATGTTTTTTGAACAATAACATTAAAATTTTATTGAGATCCAATTAATTGTTTCAGAAATATTAATGTTTAAAAAATAACTGTCAAAAATTTCAATATGGCGTAACATTTACAATTTTGAAAATTTTCAAAAATCCTTTGGAACTTCCATTTCTTATATCCAATACTACAATTTTGCAAAATTACAGATAAATCCAAAGACCCCTTGCAAATTGTGATATTTCTGACGAAGTCTTACCCAATAATAAGATTAATAATAATAATATGTAAACTCAAATTTGAAACATTATTTTTAAAACAACATTTGAAAATTATAATTTAATAATAAAATTAATTATTCTACAGACTTTGTAGAATAGAATACGTACATTAGAGTTCTAGCGGAACGTAACGCTGCGCCTGTCACTACGTACTACATGCGCCATGAGCGCTGTCAAAAATGTTTAAATAAACCAATTGTCGAAAGCGTGCCATTTTTTTCCTCGACGGAATATTATTCAGAAGGGTTTTAAGTATATGAAGCTATTTTTTTCATTTTGAAATTCGATTGTTTTCATGGTTTTTTACTAATTGATTGTAAATAAACAATTTTTTTTGCACCAAAAAATATAAATAAAACTATGGTTTAAGACAGAGAAGAATGCCTTTTAGATCACTAAAATCGACCAATAAATTTCTTTGAAATTAATTTTTTTAAAAAAAGGGTCATGAGGTATGATTATGTTTATCAATATGTTTTGTGAGTGCACCCGGCTGAAAAAACTTGAACAAGAAAATTTACAAGTTCTTGTACATGTTCATTAATGAACTTGTACATTTTCTTGTACATGTTCAAACAATGTTCTTGAACAAGTTCAGCATCCAGAATTGAGACATGTTCTTGTATCAGAACTTGTACAAGATCCTGGACAAGAAAATGTACAGATTTTTGTGCAGGTTTCATGTACAAGTACTTTTACATGAACACGTTTATGTTCTTGTACAAGAACATTTGTTTAAAAATGTTTTTGAAAAAAATTTGAAATTTTAATAAGCTATACCCGGCTGAAAAAACTTGTACAAGAAAATGTACAAGTTCTTGTACATGTTCATTAATGAACTTGTACATTTTCTTGTACATGTTCATTAATGAACTTGTACATTTCCTTGTACATGTTCAAGTAATGTTTTTAACAAGTTCAGCATCCGGAATTGAGACATATTCTTGTACCAGAACTTGTACAAGATCATGGATACGAAAATATACTTGTACAAGAGAATGTACATGTTCTTGTACATATTTTTTGTGCAGGTTTCATGTACAAGTACTTTTACATGAACACGTTTATGTTCTTGTACAAGAACATTTGTTTAAAAATGTTTTTGAAAAAAATTTGAAATTTTAATAAGTTATAATTATGAAGACTCTTCACTTATGCATGCTAAAAATTATTGCGCAGCTGTAAAGGCTCAAGAAAACTACCCGGCTGTAAAAACTTGTACAAGAAAATGTACAAGTTCTTGTACATGTTCAATAATGAACTTGTACATTTTCTTGTACATGTTAAAGTAATGTTCTTAAACAAGTTCAGCATCCGGAATTGAGACAGGTTCTTGTATCAGAACTTGTACAAGATCCTGGACAAAAAATATACTTGTACAAGAAAATGTACATGTTCTTGTACCTATTTTTTGTGCAGGTTTCATGTACAAGTACTTTTACATGAACACGTTTATATTCTTGTACAAGAACATTTGTTTAAAAATGTTTTTAAGAAAAATTTGAAATTTTAATAAGTTGTAATTATTAAGACTCTTCACTTATGCATGCTAAAGATTATTGCGCAGCTGTAGAAGCTTAAGAAAACTACTGCGCAGCCTTTAAAGTTAAAAATTTTAAATTTAAAAAATATCAATGAACCTGTACAAGAATATCTTTTACATCTGGTACAAGAAAATGTACATGAAACCTGCACAAAAAAATATGTACAAGAACATGTACATTTTCTTTTACAAGTATATTTTCTTGTCCAGGATCTTGTACAAGTTCTGGTACAAGAACATGTCTCAATTCCGGATGCTGAACTTGTTCAAGAACATTACTTGAACATGTACATGAAAATGGACAAGTTCATTAATGAACATGTACAAGAACTTGTACATTTTCTTGTACAAGTTTTTTCAGCCGGGTACTGCGCAGCCTTTAAAGTTTTTCATTTTTAATTTAAAAAACATAAATGAACATGTACAAGAACATGTTCCACATCTGGTATAAGAAAATTTACATGAAACCTGCACAAAAAATATGTACAAGAACATGTACATTTTCTTGTACAAGTATATTTTCTTGTTCAGGATCTTGTACAAGAACATGTCTCAATTCCGGATGCTGAACTTGTTCAAGAACATTACTTGAACATGTACAAGAAAATGTACAAGTTCATTAATGAACATGTACAAGAAATTGTACATTTTCTTGTACAAGTTTTTCCAGCCGGGTAATTACTCTTCACTTATGCATGCTAAAAATTATTGTGCAGCTGTAAAGGCTTAAGAAAACTACTTCGCAGCCTTTAAAGTTTTTAATTTTTAATTTAAAAAACATAAATGAACATGTACAAGAACATATTCCACATCTGGTACAAGAAAATGTACATGAAACCTGTACAAAAAAATAGGTACAAGAACATGTACATTTTCTTGTCTAGGATCTTGTACAAGTTCTGGTACAAGAACATGTCTCAATTCCGGATGCTGAACTTGTTCAAGAATATTATTTGAACATGTACAAGAAAATGTACATTTTCTTGTACAAGTTTTTTCAGCCGGGCAGTTTGTTTATCATATGCTTTTAGGTAATTTCTTTTATGTTCATATATTCTATTTTTGAAACATCTTTTTGTTTGTCCTATATATGGTCGTTGACAATCTTTGCATGGAATTGAGTAAACTATATCGGAATTTTGTTATTTCGTTAATTTATCTTTCTTACTTGTGAAAATATTTGATAGACCGTTAGTTGTTTTAAAAGATGAATTAATTTGTTCTTTTTTTAACAATTTAGAGATTTTTTTCTGATCAGGATTGGATATATGGTAATGATAAAAAATGTTTTTGTTGAACGGTATTTAGTGATGATATTTGTTGTGGAGGGTTATTGTTAATACTGACAAGTTTCAAATAAATCAGTGAGGGTGCTCCTAAAAGTAGTGAATTTTTTCGTGGACTACCACATAATATAATTATTCGTTACTTATTCCCTTTTCTTTAATAAAATAAAAATTTGTTATTAATTATTTATTAATTTGTAATGTACACGGGTTTTAAAAATAGAAAAAAATTGAAAAGAAAAAATTTTAACAATCGTTGCACAAACTTTGATGATACCAAAAATAAGAACTAGCTAGCAATGTTATTTGTATTTATAAGAGTATCTTTCATAATGACATAGTGAATGCACTCAATATTGTATTAAAGAAATCCAAATTAGTACAGAGAAGATTTTTTAATTTTATTTAATTCATAAAATTATAATAAAAAGAATAGATCTAGAATTTCAAAGAGTTAATTAATTTAATAACTTTTATTTTAAAAAAATATTATTTAATACGTGAATGATTTTTAAAAATATTTTAAAAACTTAAATTTTTACTTCAATTTAAAAAAATGAAATAACAATTTAATTTACGAAATTAAGATGAAATTAATAATAAAACATTATGTTTTAAAACTGGAAAATTGTTTTAAAAACTGAAAAATTCCAGTACAATTTTTAAAATTACGAAGGGAAAAAAGTAGAAATCTTAATATTTAAAAGTATTAAATTTTTAAATTTTAAACTTACATTTTATAATCTTCTGTGGAATAAAGCATTCCGAGAAATAATTCTCTAACATCATTTGCAATTTTGTTTCCAACATTTAATTTTTCCTCTATAATATCAATAGATGTGTGAACTTTGTAGTGAAATTTTAATTCATCCGTTTCATTTACACATCTTATATATTTGGGAGAGTTCTATTAATAAAATAAAATTTTTAATTAATAATATTTAAAATATAATTAATACTTAATAATGAATTCAACAAATAAAAATATCAATAAATATAGGAATAAGATTTTGATTTATATAATTATAACCAAAAATGAATATGAAATTTGAATATAATATAAATATATTCATAAATACAGAACAATTAATTAATAAAATAATCGCTGGCTCTATACCTACGCTAACGTAAACTGATTTCCAAAACTATAGTTACGCGAAGTGTAAATACACTTCATCATTACACTAGCGTAGTAAAAAACATGTGAATGCAAAATAGTAAACGTAAGCGTAAAGTACTGCTCGCTTTTCTTTTTAAAAAAACCTTGGCGAGAGGGGGTGGATATGGCCGAAAGTATTTTGCGAAATTCGTTGGATCCTGAATAATGGTGAATTTTTTTTTTACGATAAGTGAAAAGTGAAACTTACCCCACGGGTGTCACTTTTCGAAACTTTTTTCATTTCGCGTAGGTTTAGTTTTGGGAGATCGGTTTACGTTAATTTTTCATTTCGCTGTCACTTCGCGTAGGTTTAGTTTTGAAATATCAGCTTACGTTAGCGTAGAAATAGGCACTTCGTAAAACAATTAGATCTTTCATTTCGTAACCTACAAAAATATAAAAATTGTCATACTTACATCCTTACCGATAACAGCAATACACACGGCCATTGTAAAATTAACAAATTTTTAAATATAAAAATTGAAAAAATATCACAATCACTGTAACGTTACTAATAATTATCTCATGTTATTAATATGATCTTATAAGAAATGTAACCACTGAACTCTAAAAATCAATTTAACTAAAGTATTTTTTAACGTAATTTTCTCTTCTTCACTAAATATATTAAGTTTTCACATTAATTTAATCCATTGAATCTGAAAGCCCAATTGTTTTGATCAACAATGGTTTTCCAAATTGTTAGAATTTAAATTTTTGGTTATGTTCATACTGCTGATTTTACACTCACCGAAAACTGAGCGAGCGGTCCGCATTTGCGATACGTTTTTTATATATATATATATATAGATATAATTTAAAGGCCTTTCTCCAATAGGTTCCTAAATGTTTGCGTTGCGTACACGTCGCATTGGTTCCCATGAGGCCTTTCTCCAATAGGATCCTAAACTCTTGCGTTGCGTATGCATTGCGTCGGTTGCTATTGGCAACCAATGCTAAAATCAACGCGTCAGTTACGCAACGCAAAGTTTAGGTTCCTATTGGAGAAAGGCCTTGATGCTGACTCTACATTGACTGCGCAAACGTGTACGTGAACGTGAACGTGCTGACGTCACCCATTTGAATAACATTGTGACGTCAGCACGTTCACGTTCACGTACACGTTTACGCAGCCAATGTAGAGTCAGCATGAAATTTAGCGTTGGTGACTTCATACTAGGGATGGAAAAGTCGACTTCGACTTTAGTCGAAAGTCGACTTTCGATACTAAAAAGTCGACTTTTCGCGGTCGACTTTGATTCGGTCGAAGTCGATGAAAGTCGATCTTCGTCGGTCGACTTCTCGACTTTCTGTCAACATGAAAAACAACTGACACGTGATAAACACGCATGACGAAACTGTGGACTAACGGTTTTCGGGACGTTATATATTATTTTTCGTACATTGTGTTGCACGACATTATTTTTAATTAAATATTAAGCACATGGGTCCTAGTGCTGTTTGGATTTATTTTTCAAAAATTGGTGACGGCAGTAAAGTGCAGTGTACAGAATGTAAAAAGGAAATGTGTTTTAATAAGAATATTTAAATAATATTTAATAACAATAATTTCGATTGAATTATAATTATAATTAGATGATAAAGAATAATTTTAATATTTTAAAATAGAATGTTTTTACCATTAATGTAGAAATATAATCAATTACATTAAAAATGTTTATTCTGGATTTTTCCTTTCATAGTTAAGTATTACTTATTGTAATATAATTAAATTTAAGTTCATCAAATTAGATTTTTCTTAAAAAAATGATTCAGAGATAATTATTAATAAGTTATAAATGAATATTCTTAAAATAAATATGATTTCAAAAAAAGTCGATAAAAAGTCGACTTTTTTTACAAAGTCGACTTCGGTCGACTTTAAAAAGTCGAAAGACTTAAAGTCGATTGTAAAGTCGAAAGTCGACTTTTCGTTTCCCCTTTCCATCCCTACTTCCAAGAAGACTAGAACCAGGAGGGGAAACTCCGTTGTAAAGATGCGGCGTGACAAACAAGCCACTAGAAGGCGTGGCTTATCGTTCGTGCATTGCTATTCAGACGAATTTCAGTGTTCTGCGCATACTTTCTTGACACTGATATTTGAAATGTAGCAGACGCTGTTTTTAAGTTTCTGTTTATGCGGTTATGGCAAATGGTTTACCCATAAATTTTTTGATGCGATTATATTTAATTAATTATATGTAACTAGCAAAATTAAACGCGCGCAAGCGCGCCAAATTGAGTGTTTAATTGTTTGTTATAAAGAAATTAAAGATTAATATTATCAATAATAATTTAATTTATTAGAATATTATTACATATTAAATGATAATAATGAAAATTATATGTTTACAAGCCTCGGATTATACGACTTTTTCTGACTTTTTTCAAAAATAAGACTTTTATCGACTTCTTTTAATAAAATGCGACATTTTTTTTAACATTTGAAAGAAATGTAAATAAAATACATTTTTCTAGTATAAAATGTAGATCTTCATCATATCTTCTTCAATTAAATTATTTAACAAATTTTAAACTAAAATGATTCTTCACTACATTAATTAATTTTAATAATTTTAATGAAATACATCACAAATTCAATTATATCAAAATTATTTTTCAATTAAAATTTTTATGAAATTTAACAATTGTTTATAATTTTTAAAAAAAAATATCACAATAAAATTTAATTATTTTTTAAAAATTTCAATTCAAAATAAACTAAAATTCAATTATTACCCAAAATTTTTATTCAAAATCAATTAAAAATCCAATAATTATACAAAATTTTCAATTTAAAATTTAATTATTTACCAAGTTTTCAATTTAAAATGAAATAAAATTCAATTATTTTCTAAAATTTCTATTCAAAATTAATTAACCAAATTTTCAATCAAAAATGAACTTAAATTAAATTATTATCCAAAATTTCAATTAAAATTTAATTATTTACCAAGTTTTCAATTTAAAATGAAATAAAGTTCAATTATTTTCTAAAATTTCTATTCAAAATTAATTATCCAAATTTTCAATCAAAAATGAACTTCAATTAAATTATTATCCAAAATTTCAATTAAAATTCAATTATTTCCCAAAAATTTTCAATTTAAAATCAAATATAATTTCATTATTCTCAAAAATTGGAATTCAAAATTAATTGAATTTTCAATAATTTGAATTTAAAAGCATCTAAAATTTAATTATTTCTAAAATTTTACATCGAAATTTTTTTTTTTTTGAAATTTCATAATTTCAATTATAACTCTAAGGAAATTCAATTATTTTTAACTATTTTAATAATATTCTTTGAAAATTCAACTATCTGAAACCATTTTTCAAATTATTGTATTTTGTCCGCATTTTCTAATAAATTTTTAGTGAAATCATCTAAAATTTTAATTACAAAACACTTAAAGTTTCAATTAATTTCAAAAATCTCAATTTTAAATATTTGAAAATTCAATTAAATTTAAAAAATGTTTTCCAAAAATTGTTTGATAAATTATTTTCAGTTCTGGAAAATTTAATAATTGTTTGAAAATTAACAATATCTTTGAAATTTAATTATTTCTAAAAATTTCAATTTTAACCCTTCGAAAAGGATTATTATTAAAAAAAAAAAAAATTTTATTTAAAAATCTGTAAAATATTTTTGTTAAAATAAAAAACAAATCCACTTTTTTTTGGAATATAAATCGACTAAAACGACTTTTTTGTGTCTTTAAGTTGATTCGAGGCCTGTGTTTTTATAATTATTATTTAATAGGTATTCGTTGGCACCTGGTACCTTAAAAATTAATTTTTAAAAATAAATGTTTTTCAAATTACTATCTTATACGAAATTTCCTGGCGCATCTTTTTTCTCATCATACATTTTTTGTACAATTTTTGAATCAATATACAACTTTAAAAAGAATTTCGTTGGTAAACGTTGTGTACTTCAGCTTCGTGAATTGAATTTTCGAATTTGGAATTTTAAAGAAACTTATTCCGAAATTTGGAAACACAATTATACAACTTTGGCAAAAATGAGAAAAAGAATTGTCAAAATTTGACACGTCATAAGATTACTATTCAAAAAAACACGTGAAATCAGAAAAGGCCAACTTCAAGTTAGGACAGAAGGACAGACCAAGCATTTTATTATTATATAATTTACCTAACCAAGCAGACGCAAACATTTGCAGCTGCTTGCTACGAAATTTCCCCTTCAAAACCTACATGGATAGTATGCGCAGAATTCGTAAATTCGTTCTATTAGCAGTGCACGAACTTAAACGACACGCCCACCGTGTGCACGCTTACCATGCCACTACTCACTGCGGTAAAGCGTGGAAGTTTCACCTCCTGGTTCTAGTCTTCTTGGCTAAAATCAACGCGTCAGTCACGCCACGCAAACATTTAGGCACCCATTGGAGAAAGGCCTTCACCTCCTGGTTCTAGTCTTCTTGGTTTGCGATAACGATTAACGATTCCGGTTACGTTTCTATTCTGCTCAGGCCTTTCACAGCTAAAGGCCTAAGCAGAATAGAAACGTAACCGGAATCGTAATCGCAAACGCAATCGGAAGAATTAGTTAGACAAGGACAGACAATATGTCTATCCTTCTCTAACTCATTCTTCCGGTTGGGTTTGCGATTACGATTCGGGTTACGTTTCTATTCTGCTCAGGCCTTAAAAATGTGACGCGAACAAGATAGTTCGCTGGTGACTTGTAGGCGCTTCCGTAAACATGTGTATGTGCCTTTGGATGGTCCATAGGCGCTTCCGTAAATGTGCGCTAAAAATTTCAATTTGGAAACGGCTATAGGGACACTTCATTAAAAGTACGACGTGACAATAGCTATATGCTTATTCAACAGTTTATTTGTTGATTTGTTAACCTTAGTATACAGGAAATATATTTATTTAGTTTAGTGAAAAGTCATATTTATAAATTTTGCATTATTTGAACTGAGAAAATTGAATTGGTCTGAATATTTGAAGCCATATGTAACAAACAAATAAGTTTTTTCTGTCAAAAAAAGAAGAAAAATAATATTACAGATAATTAAATAAAATTTATCTCTTTCAATTAATTCATACAATATGTCAAGAATTGTAGTTGTAGGTTCCAGCATGATTGATTTTACTACGTAAGAACTTTTACTTTTTTATAATATTATAAACCAAATAAAAAAGAACATTATTTGGCTAGTCAAAATAAAAAGAATTAATAATTTAATATTGTTTGAGGCAAACTTACTTTTTTCTTTTAAAAATTGTTAAAAGTATTTACAATTAATTAAGGGAAGTCACCACCTTTATTTCAAGTCCTTTAAATTTTAATGATCGCAGGAAGTTATATTTTTTTCTTGCATCATTTCGGTCCTAAAAACATATAAGATGGTCAAAAAAGAAAATTTTAATTTTTAACCATTTTAGAATTTTTATTTTTTGAAAAAATAAATATTTTTGAAAATCCGTACGAGAGATTCTAAAGATTCATTAAATTGTGAAAAGATACATATTTAATAGGAGAGTGCAATGATTTTTTAACTACCTAATATTGTTCTTTCTTTTTTTTGAAAAAATTAAAATTTTTGAAATTCCATGCGAGAGATTCTTAAGAATCATTAAGAAAGCGAAGAAAAAAATTGGCGATGAAAAATAGTCAAAATTGTGAAAGAAGATAGATATTTAAAATATTAATTTTTTTCAGACTAATTTCTAAAATGGTCAAAAATTAAAATTTCATTTTTTTGACCATCCTGCATGTTTTTAAGACCGAAATGATGCAAGAGAAAAATATAACTTCCTGCGATCATTAAAATTTAAAGGAATCAAAAAAAAAGATAGTCACTTCCCTTAAATATTAAAAAAAATTTAACGTATAGTCAAAAACGTTATTCATTTAATCTAGAAAATACGAGAAAATGCTATTCATTCGTTTGTATTATTTAAATAAAATAATTCAAAGTAGTTTATATAAAACTAAATATTTTCCACCGATTTTTGCTGTTTTTCTCGTTTAAAATTCTACAGGTTCGGAAAATATTAATATTTTTTAACAATTAACAAGTTGACTATCGTCTAATATCGCAGCGCTTACCCTTTCAGATCGCGTTTCATAATTTTTTAAATGTATCTACATTTATTTATGTATTTACCAGTTAATTCGCTCAATTTTAATACACAGAGAAAGTATGTTAATTTACGAAAATAAAAATAAATAAATAAATACTAAATCAGTAAATTCTACACAGCATTAAAAAATAAAAAATTAAATTCTATACAATTAGATCTACACATAAAAATAATCTTTTCTTTATTTCGGATTATTTGTAAAATTCTACACAATTAAACTCAACATTTATAAATTCTATATATCTGCGGGTCAAATTTATCTTTTTCACAATTTAACAAAATTTTATATTTCCTGTTCGTAATCGGCATTTTTACTCATAAGATCAATCACTTCTTTCATTTATAATGCCAACTCGAATCAATAAACGTAAATTCAATCGATTCAGGTGAATAGAATTCAAGGTAAGAAAAAAAGAATTCACCGTAACGTCCCAATTCGGTTTAGACGCGAAACCGAATTCAGCTTAAGTCACTGCCAATTCGGTTTCGCTTACTCCCAATTATTTTTTTACTGGGTTTATAGTTTATTGTGTAAAGTTTTTCGATGTAGTATTTAATTGTTAAGAATATATTTTTATTTTATTTTGTTGAGAATTTACTCGTGTACAGTTAACGGTGCAGTATTTTCTCGTATAGTTTATTTGTGTTAAATTCGTTCCGCCCTAAATATTTGAAACAAGTAAATATTTTTCAAATAATTTGAATTACTTGAATTAAATAATTTTCTTTCAGTGTGTTCTTCTAGAAAAAAAAAATATTTTTAATTTTCATTTATCAAAGTTAAAAATTATTTTTTAAAAACAACGTTTATATAATTGAATAACTGGTAAAAACACGTAGAAAATACATATTTTAAGATGTTGTTTGCTATATTTGAATTTTTTAAAACAAATAATATTTAATATTTGAAGTAGGGTAAGGGGTACAGTGACCGACACCCTGGGCATACTTTCAACTTTAAATGACATTTTATCGTAATTTATTAAAGATTTAGTTATAAAATAAATTTTAAATAAAAGATTTGGGTTAAAATTTATAGTACACAAGTTTAAAATTAAAAAACACCTTGATAAGAGTTTATAATATTAATTTAAAAATGTATGGTATGAAAACAGTGAACGACACCCTTTAATAAAATAAAAAATATTTAAACTTCTATTTAAGTAACATGATATTTATTAGTATTATCATAAATTTTATTATTCAGACTTAATGTACAAAAAAAGTTGCTTTTAAAATATAATTATTTAACAATTTTTTCATATTTATAAAATTTGTAATCAATAAAGCAAATTTTTTGAGGTTAATTTTCTAGAAAGTATTAAATATTGAGGAAAATATAAACATATAAAATTTTGTATAAACTGTATAAGTTTTTAAATATTGTATATTAATTAATTTACTAATGATATTTAATTAAATATTATTATTTTTATAGTTATTATCGTTTTTAATAGCAGGTGTCGTTCACTGTCTGGGTGTCGGTCACTGTACCTTTTACCCTAGTATCTAATAGAATAAAAGTTAGTATATCTTATAACCTGGTCCTAGATATCATATATGCCTGTATATAGTACAATTAAAATTTCTTTTAGATATTCTCCGCGTTTACCGAAATCTGGGGAAACAATTATTGGATCAAAATTCGAACAAGGATTTGGAGGTAAAGGCGCAAATCAATGCGTAACTGCGGCAAGACTCGAAGCTACAACAACATTAGTAACATCAGTAAAAAAAATTTGTTAACTTGATTTCAACATGTGCGAGGCATTTCATATGAAAAGACGAAGTCATGTCTCGGATTTTTCACAAAATTCGGTAAATTGTAGTGATACTGGTTCTAAATAAGTGTACATATTTTAAATTTTAAATATTTTTGCAGATATTTACAACAACAAGTTTTAGCAATATTTTTTTACTAAAAAAAGAGAAAAATGTTAAGAATGTTTTTTATGCAGAAGACCTTAAACTTTTAGATAAATTTTTTTTTTTTAAAAAATATTAACTTTTAACCCGGAGAAGTTATAACTCTTCAAAAATTCACTGCTTACATTTTTCAAAAAAATTTAACCCCCTCCCCCTTCTAAAGTTGTCGATAAATCCTAACAATACTTAGTGGTTAAATTACTCACCAATAGTGCTAAACTACATGCTAGTTATAGCCCGAACCGAACAACTTTTTTTTCACGTAGTACGCTACAGGAATTTTACCTCACATATTTATATCTAATAAAGTCACAAACATAATTAAATAATAAATTTTAAACTATTCACTTTGATCTTTAGAAATATTTTTCATTTAATGGGTTAAACCATTCTAAAACGTCAAAAAAGGCCTACTTTTAATAATTTTTTTAATTTTTAATGAAAAAATTTAGAGCTGTGCAAGTTTTTAAAATTCGAACCGCTCCATAAGGCCGCACTCTCACCTCTAGGCTGCCTGCCTGCCTGCAGGAGTTGCCATGGCAACGTGCAGGAGTAAGAGAGAGAAAAAATTCAAATTTGAATTTACTATCTCTGTTACTCCTACACGTTGCCATGACAACTCCTGCAGGCAGGCAGGCAGCCGAGAGGTGAGAGTTGTCATGGCAACGTGTAGGAGTAACAGAGATAGTAAATTCAAATTTGAATTTTCTCTCTCTCTTACTCCTGCACGTTGCCATGGCAACTCCTGCAGGCAGCCAGAAGGTGTGAGTGCACCCTAAGAATTAACATGGGCTCGAATCGAATATTCGATCCGAGCCCATACAAAATTCAAACTTTTGCACAGCTCTAAAAAAAATTAATTTTTTATAAACAAATTAATTTCTTTTAATTTGTCCCGATTAAATTTTGTTTTTAGGGTTCCGTACTCGGTTCGGAACCCTATTAATATCGGTTTTTTTGAAATCGTGTAACCCCCCCCCCCTAGCGGCCACACGAATTTATCTGGAGGGCTGAAATTTGGTACACATATGTATTTTCGCGTGTAAATTACAGGAAAAATATAGCGAGCATGATGGGAGTTGATTATCATAGCGTTGTCAAGGAAAAACCATGAACTTTTACGAAAAATACCTAAAAATGACTATGTACCCCCCCCTAGCAGCCACATTTTTTTACATAAAGAGCACAAATTTGGTACACTTACGTATTTTTACTTAAAATTACAGGAAAAATATAGCGAACTTGATTCGGATCAATTTACATAGCGTTGTCAAGGAAAAATCAAAAATTTCGAAAAAAATGATTTATTCTCCCTAGCGCACACAATATTCTACCCAAACTGTTCATATTTGCTGTAAAACTGTATTTTTGCGTGAAAAATATAGGGAAAAAATGAAAGCGCGATTGGAGTTGATGATCAATTTTTATCAAATTTTTGAAGAAAAATGATAAACTTAAGAAAAAAATTTATCTAAAGTGATTCAAATTGATATATTTTGACGTATTTTTACGTGTAGATTACAAAAAAAATATAGCGAGGATGATTGGAGTTGATTTTTCTGGAGCTGTCAAGAAAAAACTGATAATTTTAGAAAAATTCATGAATTTTCTCTCAATAACGGAAAAAATTTTATTTAAGGGGCTTCAAATTTACTATTTTTACGTATTTTTATGTGTAGATTATAGAAATAATTTCATAAACATGATAAGAAGTGGAAACAGTGGACTTTTTGCTTAAGTAAATACAATAAAAATATTGCGAGTTGAAATAAAATTATGTTTTCTATATTTTTTTAGTAAAATATTTTTTATAAAATAAAATCGGACAAGTGGGAGTTACACTCGCACTGAAATCGAGGGTTCCGTACTCGAAGCGAACTTATTTGGTATAAGAACAAATGTTTAAAAAATATGTGTTGTATGTTAAATAATATATGTGATACAGAAAGAAACAATTTAAAAAAAATTTAAGAAAATTGTTCCTCCTTTGGTAAAAACTGTATAATTCTGCATAACGCCTTTGATTTTGTTTTTTGCAAATTTTTTTTTCAATTGTTTAAACAATTTTAAGGATTTTAGTTCCTCATTACGTAATTAATGACATTAAGAGAAATGTGCAATGTTATTAGTCAAGGTAAACGACTAAGTCTGTTAACCTTCAGTATCCTCTTAGAGAAGCTAGAAAGCGACATAGAGAGGGCGGAAGCCCGGACGCAAGGCAGCAGACGTCGACGAGTAAAGAAAAGAGGGTTAAGAGCAGGGATGCTCCTGACAAAACCCTTATCTCACAGGTGAAGGATAGTGTTGTTTTGCGTACTGAAGAGGCCGGCGATAAGGAAGGCGTTAAAAAAGATGGCGATGGCTTTGTTCTTGCCGTTAATAAAAAAAGGAATTTTTTTCTCAAAAACGAGCAGAGGCTTCGAAGCGCTCTTCAAGGCCCAGGAACACGGAGGCAGTCAGGATTTCGGCGAGAAATAAAGATTCTTACGCCGAAATCCTGAAAGTCATGAAAACCTCGGTTAAACCGGGAAAAACCGGTACCGAGGTTTTAAAAGTAAGAAGGACCCTTAACAACGAAGTCCTCGTTGTGGTTAAGAAAGGAGGAGAAACCTAAAACGCGGATTGTGATACCTTGCTTAAGTTGAGCAAAATCCACATTGGATGGATTAATGCCCAATTAGAGAGCATGTAGAAGTGGCTAGGTGCCAAAAGTGCATGGTTTATGGACACGTGACCCGAACCTGCAAAGGCCCCGACAGAACTAAAAACTGTCGGAGATGCGGCGAAGAGGGTCACTTCGCTAAAAAGTGCGAAGTTAAGAAGCCGAAGTGCTTAACGTGCTCAGACTTAGGCAAGGTAGACACAGATCATGTTGCCGGAAAAAACATCGTGTCCCGTTTACAACGAAGAACTGCAGAAGCTTAAAAGGACAAACCCTTAAAGTTTCTGCAGGTCAATTTGCATACCTGTAGGGACGCACAGACCCTTCTAATGCAGACGGCAAGGGAACAGGGGGTGGATGTTCTGTTCTGCAGTGAGCAGCATAGAAAGAACGATCTCGCCCCTTGGTACCAGGATAGGTCTGGCAGGGCAGCTGTGCAATCCTGCATTAAGGATTGACAGGTTCCTGGAGACGAACAGTGGATTTGTTTGGGTTGAGGTGGCGGAAATACGAATGTATAGCTGCTATTTCTCTCCGAACGATCCACTATCGGACTTCGAAGCAGACATTGAGAACCTAGAATCGAGCCTTAGAGAATCCATACTGTATGTCCTCGTCACAGGTGACTTTAATGCAAAGTCTTGGGGAGCGACAAGGCTCGATAAAAGAGATATAATGATAGCAGAAATGGTCTCCAGGAACAATTTAATAGTTGTCAATCAAGGAAAGTCGTAGACTTTCCGAAGAGACACGATCGGATCAACTATAGATCTGACGATCGCATCGTCTTACTTGGTTAGCCGCATAAGCGACTGGCGGGTCTCTGAGGAATATACCTCAAGTGACCAACAGTACAGAACTGTAGTACAGTACAGCAGGTAGAAGATTGAAGACAGGCAAGGCGCCTGGAATCCATGGGATAAGCAACAAGATTCGAAAAGAGGTGATTGTTGCTTCCCCCCTGATTTTGTTAGACATCTTCAATCTCTGCCTAGAGAGAGGAGAGTTCTTTCCAGACTGGAAGAGGCAAAGGCTGGTCCTCCTAAGAAAGAGTGACAAACTTCTAGACAAGGTCTCATCCTACAGGCATATATGCCTATTGGATACGATGGGCAAAATTCTAGTGGACATGGTTCTATAGAGAATGCAATCTCACTTGACCGGAGAGAATAGTCTATCCGATTACCAATTTGGATTCCGCAAAGATCGGTCCACAGTTGATCATAATGGCAGTTGTGGACCTCGCCAGAGAAGGGAAAAACAAATTGGTTCCAGATAAGAAGAAGAGCTTCTGCGCGTTGGTAGCAATAGACATACGGAACGCGTTCAATTCCACGAGATGGGAAGATCTCATCGAGTCGATGATACAGAAGGGTATACCGCCCTACCTGTTGCGGATAATGGATAATTATCTTAGCGACAGGTGGGTTATTTACGAGGGAGCAACCTGCATTTTCAAAGAAGAGATGCAGCGTGGGGCCCCTCAAGGCTCAAGGGTAGGACCATTTTTATGGAATGTATCGTACGATGACTTCCTAAGAATGGACCTGCCCGAAGGTGCGGTGATCGTCGGCTTTGCGGACGACGCGTTGATCGTGTGCGCTGCCGAATCGGCGGAGGCTCTGGGGACATTGGTGAAAGAATGTCTGCGGCTAGAAAAATGCTAGCTGGAAACCAGAGGTCTTTAAATGGCCCTGGAAAAGACTGAAGCATTGCTGGTCACAGACAGACGTGGTTATAAATCCCTACGAATCGTGATGGACGAATTCGAAGTCAAGTGGAGGAGACAGATTAAGTACCTTGGTGTGGAACTGGATTGAAGGTTAAACTGCCATCACCACATAGCTACGGCGTCAAACAAGGCGATTGAATGTGCGGCTAATTTAACACGGGTGATGCCAAACGTTGGAGGCCCCCGTAAGAAGAAAAGGAGACTGGTGGCGAGTGTCGCACACGCTAAGTTGCTTTACGCAGCACCAGCGTGGGCCCCCTCCCTGAGAACGAACAGATGTTCAACCATCTGTAAAAAGATGCTGTCCGCGCAGAGAGGCATTACTTTACGTATCGTCTCTGCTTATTGGACAGTATCTACGAGCGCTGTGCAGGTCCTTGCAAGTGTCCCGCCAGCAGATCTTTTGGC